TCAATTAGACAGGAAGAATTAACAAAACATATGTAACTACTATCAATGATAATAAAATTTATAATGTAATTATTTATACAAATGTATAATTTCGAATTTCAAATCAACAACATTCACATTCATAATTTGGGATTTGGACTTTTCTGTCTCACGTTCTGAAATACCGATCGTGAAAAAAATCACGGAGATTTTTACGCCCCCTATACCTTGACTGTCAATAACAAGATCTCTGTTTATTTAACGGTCGGTACTGCTACTTGACTATTGCTGAATCGGTAACGTTGAAAACAACATCAAAGTGATAACATTATTTGTGAACCTAAACTGTGCTACAAAAATATATATTGAATAATGCCCTTATCCTGTTGTTCACTTCTGGTTTGATTTGTATACATGTTATTTTTATTCTTAATTTATAAATAAAAGATTAATCTTAACATAAAAATGGCAAATATACGTAAATAGTGTATTAATATTTTATAAATTGTGTATGTTTTTTTTAAATTGTTAGTTTATGGTATCACACCGTATCACTTAAATTTTTACATTTTTAAGTTTTCTATACTAAGCCTTGCTAATATTAAAATAATACAAATTAATGATGAAACATCAATATTCATTTTTATTCCATAATTATTCATGCTAGTGGGAAATAAATTCTACATTTGGTATCCCTGCGAAAAGGCATGCTGTCTCAAAACGGCAATAAAATGAAATAAAGCTGAGCTGCAAAAAATTTTATTTAACCGTACAGCGTTTAGGTAGTACAAAATATCCAAATTAATAAATTACTTAAATATTTGATGACGCTGGCACTATGTTTGATATTATTTTTATAGACTAAACTACAAAGCAAGTTTTATATTGATGTTGACTTTTGACTCTGAGAAATACATTTCTGGTACAATTGTTCTAGTGGTTCATTCAACAAGGTAGGGAGGGTCTTTTCAATTTATTATACATTTATATATTTCATTATAATGTGATAATCATTGATTCATCTTTCTGCAAGCATTTGGTATTACGATACGACTCATGTCGCAGCAGAAAATAATTTGCATATATAAGCTCTGTAACTATTTAACTGGATACTTCTTTTTCTATATTAAAAACATAATTCAAGATTAGTGTGTCTGAAAATATATATTAATAACTCTTAGGTATTTATTTGCAACATCACATGTACAAAGCGGTTAAAGCTAAAGTAAAAAACATTGAAAATTACGATATACTGCAATTAATTGCCGAACCTAACCTCAAACTCGATCTTTTAAGACTGAAAGGAAATGTCAGTTTAGTCAGTATAAACCAGCTATATTACGGATCCTTTAAATCTTCTTAATCTTTTATATTACTTACATTGTTGCTGCGTGGTAAGTAATTTATTTATACTATTTCTTTTTATACTATTTCAATATATAGACAAATTAGTTATATGCCTCTTTTGATATTGACTTATTGTTATTTTGTCAATTCATATTTTTTATTCTCTTAATGAAGGAAAATTGAGAGTATCTTTATAAATATATATATTACATATTTAGTTACTGAATTAAAAAATCAAAATTTATATAAATTAGATATAACAGTCTATTGTAATTAATGTCAGTTGAAAATATTTATAAATTATTAATATGTTATTAAGAGTTTCATTAATAATATATTTACTTTTGAGAATTATATACATATACATTATATTAGAAATTTTAATATACTAGTTATTACATATTAATTAATAGGTAAGGACTGTGTATAATAAGTAAATAAATATATCAATTAGCTAATTGTTATATTTTATGGTAATTCATGTAAATGTTAAATTATTTTTTTTAGTTAAAAGAGGGATGCCACGCAGCAAGCGTAGAGCGCCCTCTAGCACAAATCATCATACGCCTATTGAAATGTCACCTAGTGCTCATGAAGAGGGTATATCGAGGCATCCTTCAAAAAGACTTAGACATACATCTAGGTAAATTGTGTTACAACAAATTTAAACTTATGTTATATATGTATAAACCAATAACGATTTGAAGTTAAACTTTATAACTGTCACATTGTTGGATCCTTTTATGTTAAATACAATAAACATGTTACTTCCTTCCAGTGCAAGACGTTATTCAAAAACAGAAGATGTTCCAACTGCTTCATCTTTTTCCCAAAAACGTTGTATCACATGGTTTAGAGAATATACAACACCTGATGATTCAGATACTCTTGGGCCTGAAGGGATGGAAAAGTTTTGTGAGGATATTGGTGTAGAACCTGAAAATGTAGTAATGCTTGTTCTTGCATATAAAATGAATGCCCGACAAATGGGTTTCTTTACACTAAGCGAATGGTTAAAAGGTCTTTCGGACTTACAGTGTGATTCTATTAGTAAAATACAACAGAAACTTGAGTACCTAAGGAATCAATTAAATGATCCACATACATTTAAGGGAATATACAGATATGCTTATGATTTTGCTAGAGTAAGCATTATATTTTGTATGTATTAAAACTTTTGCAGACATGTATATGTATTATACACCATATTTTAGGACAAAGATCAAAGAAGTATGGATATGGAAACAGCAAGAGTTATGTTACAATTACTTTTGGGAAAACATTGGCCATTGTTTACACAATTCGCTCAGTTCCTAGATCAATCGAAGTACAAAGTGATCAATAAAGATCAGTGGTGCAACATTTTAGAATTTTCTCGTACAATCAATCATGATTTAGCTAATTATGATTTAGATGGGGCATGTGCGTAATCGCATAATGTCACTGATAAATATATTTTAATTATGTGCATACTTTACATTTAGTGCATGCATTTTTTACAGGGCCAGTAATGCTTGATGAATTTGTTGAATGGTTAAAAATACAACGTGGTGAAGAAGCATCTTCAACAGAAGCTAGGGGCAGCTGAAACATTCAATAATAATAGTCTACTAAAATAAAAAGAACTCATCTTTTCTATCACCATATTTTGTTAATAACGAAATTTCTGTTTCTATCATAACCTCGCAACATTTCAATTATCATCATTCGTACTAACTTTTTTATTAATCAATGATAATGTAAGTAGTCTATCTTAATATGATTTTACACAGTTCTAAGTGGACTCTGGTTACAAATTTTCTAGATTATTCTTAATTACTTATCACCATTCATTGCTAGTCCAAGGTTCGTCGCGGAAATTCTTGTGATTAAAAATAAATATATTTTCATATAAGATTTACTTGTGCAATTTATAAAATATAATTTCTATTATAAAATGGAAAAAGTAGAACACAGTGTATATTACCTATATAACTAAGCTTTGTATAAAAGAGATAAATTTTCTATTGCAGTTTTCAATCTTATTTTCATAAATTAATAAAATTGTAATAGCTTTATATTTTAGATATTAATAAGTATAACGAATTTTTATTTTGATTTACTATAAGTTATACAGTATAAAATTACAAGCGAAGTTATTCATAAATATATATCCAAAATTCTTTTTACAGTGTTTAAGTATGTTTCATATAAAAATGTTTACAAAATTTAGACATATGTGTATAACTATTATCACGAAATATTTAATAGTCACAAATGTTATTAAGTAGGTTCATAAATAAAATAACATGTATAGTATGTAAGTGCTATTACAATGTTTAATATCTAAAATACAATAGAACACATTGGTACATATTACTTAGCTCACATAAAATAATTCCTATACATGCCATAAATATCGATGTACATTAGAATATCGAATTTCTTATTAAATCAATATAACACTTATGCAATATTGGAATTAAATTTATTTCGAAATATTCGGTAAGATAATACACTATTATGTTTTTATTTAATGCAAGAAATTTAAACAGGATTGAGTATATTTTTGTAATAAAAATCAAGTATATGTATATTTTTAATCGGTTTTCAATAATTTAGAGAGGTACAGTACGATCTTTTTTAAATATGTTTCTTGTCATAAAAATTTTTGCGACAACTAAAATGGATTAAATGTATGGTGATTGTTCAAATAATTTGTATTATATTTTAGCTCAATCAATTGCCAAGTTTTATCTGATTTAATCGCGAGTAGTTGGACATACATCGTGATTCTGAATTTTATTTAATAAAGAAATTTGTCTAGTAATAATAACATAGGAAATTATTGCGGTAATATTATAAATTAGTTCAATTATTACATCAAAGTTGCTTAATTATGTGTATGTGTATATTTTTTCCTGCATGAGCACTTCTATTACAACTAATGTTATCATTAATGATATAATATAAAATTAAATTTAAAATTCCGCTCATAACTTCCAAATTAATAGTAATCTTAATTCACAAATGAAAAAGTATCTAATGGAAAATTATAAACCCATACATCATAATGAAGAAATTAGAAACAAGAATTAAAAATCATCGTATATCGCTGCAATACAATTGCGATGTGGAGAATGTAATGTAATGACGAAGGTAAAATAAATAAAATACTTTTTTCAATAAATGTATATTTTCTTTATTTAAATAATGATGTTCTTTTTCTTTCTCTATCTCTCTCCGCGTGTATGTTTGTATTTCTCCATCCACACATTATAGTTTTTGAATATAATCAATTGTCTTAGATTTTAAACCTAAGTTAGTCTTCAATCCTAAATATAAAATCTAGGATTATAACTGATAAATAGATAGCTAGTGGTAATAATGTTAATGATGTTCTCTAATTGTTATATAAAAGTCTAAAATTATACTTTTCAATTTCTACATAAACAATTTCATATATCTAGTGAATGTATCAATGCTTTCATAATATTAAGTGCTAGTGTCTAGCGTATTTAAAAAACGCGCCAATATTTATAAGCGCACATACATATTTATATATATTTGTACATACATGCTACACGTATTTGTATTTCAATTTAAATAGAAAATATGAAGTATTATAAACAACATTGATGATTTAATACATTTAAACATGTTTTATATAGATGTAATTTTTCATTTTTGTAAAAAGAAAATTCAATTAATATAGCAAAGATGTAGGTAGCATGATAACATTACTAACGGGTTTGAAAATTATTTTAACCCGGCAGTTTTATTTTTATTCGATCGTGGGACGAACACAGTTTAAAATAAACATGCAATAGTCTAGTGACGTCTGGATAGATCTGTTCCCTTTTTAATACGATGCAGAAGCAGTGCCAGTCTCAGTATTGCATTAGACTTTCGAAAGAGATATCGACAACCAAACTTTTAACATTTAAATTTCTAATATTTCAAAAAAAATCATATAATATTTAGTTCTTGGTACGTATTATAGTGTTTTACATATGTGTGTATCGGTATTATTCATAATTTCTTCTTGACATAGCAATTGTGTATTAAGTATTATTTATTTAAAATTTAAACGTATGCTATGTAAATAATATACTATAATTTATTTAAATAATTGTTATATTAAACTGTTTTATAACATGGACATTTTTCTGAAGCAATGTATAATTAATCTTTTTTATTAAAAAACGTTTAGTTAAACAACATGACAAAAACAACAAATTTGACTGCACATGAATGGAAGGAGGAGGGCAATGTGGAATTCAATAAAGGAAATTGGTCAGAAGCTTTAAGTTGTTATACAAATGCATTGAAACTTACAAATGAAGATAATTCAGAGAAAGCTATATATTATAAGAATCGTGCTGCTACATATTTAAAACAAGAAGAATATAATAAAGCAATTGAAGATTGTGATGAAGCTCTTAAAATATCTCCAAATGATCCAAAAGCATTGTTTCGTCGATGTCAAGCATTAGAAGCATTGGAAAGATACGAAGAAGCATATCGTGATGCAAGATACATTATTTCTGCAGATCCTGGCAATAAAGCAATTCAACCTATTGCTGCAAAGTTACATGAAATTGTCCAAGAAAGATATAGACAAAATTCTCGTGTTAGTGTAAAGGTTTGTATATTCATTCATTATATAACATGATAGATCAATTAAAAAGTGTATTTTAAAACTTTTGCATAGTTGAAACTATAAAAATATCTTTTTCTATAATACACAAACCAGTACATGAATATGTTCTTTTAAAGGTATCACAAATGATAGATATAGCTTTCGAAATAAAAGGAGATAGTGAAAAACGAGAAACAGCAATGAACAATTTACTTGTTCTTGCTCGGGAAAGAGCAGGAGCAGAAATAATGTTTAATGATGGAGTAATCTCTAAAATAATAAAGATGCTTAAACTTGAGAAAAGTGAGGAAATAATAACAATTGGTGTTCGAATTATTGCAGAATTATGTAAAGATAACATTAATAGAACTGAAACTATTATAAAGCAAATTGGAATACCTTGGTGTTTAGAAATGATCAACAGTATAATTGCAGAAAGAGTAAATGCTGCTCAATATTGCTTACAGGTTAGTAAATTTAATAAATATGAAAAATTGTTATTTTCAATGTTAAAATGTATGTTCATTTTAATATCTTTTTAAAATTATGTTTGCAGACAATACTAAACACATATAGTGGAATGACTAACAAACCAGATTCAAAACCAAACAAAGAATTGTGTGATAAATACAACAAGGAGATAGATACTATTTTATCTTGTTTACTGTACAGTGTAACGAGCAGAACAATTTCTGGACTAGCTAGAGATGCAATTATAGAACTTATTATGCGTAACATCCACTATACTACATTAAATTGGGCAGAACGATTAGTTGAACTTCATGGTTTAAAACGTTTAATGGAAGTAGCTAGTGAGCTTGAAGAATATAAATATGAATCCTCAATGCACATTACATCATCTACTAGAACTATAACAAGTGTGTGCTTGGCAAGAATTTATGAAAATATGTATTATGATGCAGCAAAGGAAAAATTTAGAAATGCTATTGATGAATATATAAAAGATAAACTACTAACACCAGATATAGAATCTAAGGTAAATAATATATTTATTTAATCTTTGGTGAAAGCTATATTATGAAAAATATAAATATATAACATATTTATTCATGTCATATTATTCTTTTAAACAGGTTCGTGTTGTAGTTGCAATAACAACTTTATTGCTTGGTCCACTAGATGTTGGAAATACAATAATTGCTAAGGGAGGTATTTTAGAAATGATACTTGTTATGGCAGGAACAGAAGATCTATTACAACAAAAAGTTGCTTGCGAATGTATTATTGCCGCTGCATCCAAAAAAGACAAAGCTACCACAATTATCAATCAAGGCGTGAATATATTAAAGAAGTTGTACCAATCTAAAGATGATTCTATTAGAGTACGTGCTTTAGTAGGATTGTGTAAATTAGGTAGTTCAGGTGGTACAGATGCTACAATAAGACCATTTGCTGATGGAGCAACAAAAAAATTGGCTGAAGCTTGTAGAAGGTTTTTAATTAATCCTAAAAAACAAAAAGATATGAGAAAATGGGCAGTGGAAGGATTATCATATCTTACTTTTGATGCTGAAGTCAAAGAAAAATTAATTGAAGATGTGCAAGCAGTTCAAGCAATGATAGAACTGGCCAAAACTGGAGATCAGTCTGTAATTTATGGCGTCGTTACTACATTAGTGAATTTATGTAATGCATATGATAAACAAGAACTTATACCAGAAATGATTGAATTAGCGAAATTTGCAAAACATCATATACCAGAAGAACATGAGTTAGATGATATAGATTTTGTAAATAAAAGAGTAATTGCATTAGCTAACGCCGGTGTAACATATGCATTAGTCGCACTTTCTAAAACAGAAAGCCAAAATAGCAAAGAACTAATAGCACGTGTATTTAATGCAATTTGTAGTCAACCGGATGTACGAGGAATTGTTGTTCAACAAGGTGGAGGAAAAGCACTTTTACCATTAGCTCTAGATGGCACAGATAAAGGAAAAAAACAAGCATCACAAGCTCTCGCGCGATTAGGAATTACAATAAATCCAGAAGTTGCATTTCCTGGACAAAGAATAATGGAGGTAGTTCGACCATTTTTAAATCTTTTAAATCCAGAATGCTCTGCACTTGAAAACTTTGAAGCTTTAATGGCCTTATGCAACTTAGCTGGTGTTAATGATAGTATTCGAAAACGAATTTTAAAAGAAGGAGGCTTCCAAAAAGTTGAAGCTTATATGTATGAAGATCATGAAATGTTAAAACGTGCATCCACGCAGGTTATAAATAATTTAATGATGTGTGAAGACACTATTAAGTATTATGAACAAGAAAACGATAGAGTTAAATATCTAGTCATTCTTTGTGAAGATGAAGATGTAGATACAAGCATGGCGGCAGCAGGGGCCTTAGCAATGTTAACATCAGTTAGCATAAAGTCTTGCATAAAAATATTTGATTCAAAGGATTGGTTAGAATCACTACATTATTTACTTGCTAATCCAAATTCTGATTTACAACATAGGGGGATTATAATAGTTTTAAATATGATGAAAAGTACAAAAGATGTAGCAAGTAGAATGATTGAAACTGATGTAATGGAAATTTTAATGGCTTTGACAAAGAGTGACACAGTGGAAAACAAAAAAATTAAAGAATTAGCAGCTAAAGCATTAGAAGCTGCCGCAGAATGGAAACTTATTAGGAAGAGTGAAAATGAAGAACAAGTACCGCAAAATACAAATAATTTGGAAAATATTGAATAAATATATACAGTATGCACTTAACTTAATTTTGGTGTGTAAAGAATATCTAATAATGAATATTTATCATAATACCGCAAAGTGCCTAAAAAAAGATTATCAATTTCATCTTTCATAGCAAACAACACAATAAAATATTTAAGTAATACGTAAGTATTTTTAGACATAGTTAAATTGTAAAAATATTGCATTTATTAATATTCGAATATTATACATATAATATAATTATATAAAAAATATAAAACTATTTATTTAATGCCTAAAAATCTAAATTATTTAATTTAATATAAATAATAATATACTATATATTTGTATACATTTATGTATATGTACAAGTTTCATAGTGTGCAATATTTTCAGTATAACATTAAATGTAGTATTATTTAGCTATTCTTATGATATTGACTGACTTATAATATACTGTTTTACATCTGCCAAAAATAGATTCAAAAATTTTTAAGATGAAAATATACACTATAATTTAAAAAATGGATGATTTAAAGCTTGATCTGCAGTAAGACGTGTTTTATAATCTAAATCCAATAACCTTAGTAGAAGATGATAAGCTTCTTTTGGAAACTGAGTGTCCAATGATACCTTAAAATATAAATATTTTTTAACATAAAATCTTTAGTACATTACATTACATATTATTTAAAAACAAAAATGTTATACTTAAATTCTTAATTATATTTATGAATAAATGTTAAATTATAGAAGATACCTTTTCACATGTGTTATGATCTTTATTATTTAATAAACCTTTATTTCTTTTTTGTAATTTCTGACATAAAGATACAATATCAACCCCTGGTATATCTTCACTAAAGATAACTTTTTTTCCTGAATTATCAAAGAAAGGTTTAAAATATATAAAGTAAGCAAAATGATAAATTAGAACAAACCAAAGAAAGTAAAAGACTACAATATAAATTGTATTTAAAAAAATGATTTTTTTCAAACCTAATTTGCGTGCACACTGTTGCATTTTATTTGATCCAAATATAGTTGTTATTTCTGCTAAAGCTGTACAATCATCTGGTGAAAGAAAAAATGGTTGAGTACCACTAAGAATACAGAGCATCATTACTCCACTTGCCCAAATATCAATTGCTGGTGTTTGTGAAGGATGCTTTAGTAAAACTTCCGGAGCACGGAAACCTGGTGTACCAGCTCTTGGGGCTGTCTGTTCTGGTCTTGATATACATAATGAACAAACTTTTGCTTTACCAAAGCAGTAACACTTCTCTTCTGTACCTTCCCTTCTTCTATCGAGAGAAAGATTTAAACTGTTCTGTAAAAATATTAGAGATTAACAACATACGTCTTTTAAAGAAAATTCTTCTACAATTGTAAATAATTGATACATTACTTCATCCGTTCTTTTCCTTTTAACAACTTGTGTTTCAGAATTAAGTAATTTAAGATTGTTAGATTTTTTCTCTGCTATATATTCTTGTGCTAATCCAAAATCAACTAACAAGTATCTATTAAGAAATACAAAATTAAGATAATATATTCATATGAATATAATTTATGTTGTTATACCTTTTGTTGCATCTATCATATAAAAAATTACTGGGTTTGACATCTCTATGTATAATATTAAATTTATGAACCCTTCTTAATGCAGTTAATAACGCAATCATATAATCTTTTGTTTCCTGTACAGTCATATCTTGTACATATTCCTATTTAATATTATTAAATTTTAAGATTATTAAACTCTTATTTATAATATTATGAAATTAAGATTAATTGAGATATAAGAAGTCAAGTATTTTACCGAAAATTTATCATGCCTCATATATGGCATTACAAATATTACTGTTTCAAAATTTCGTAAACATAATTCTAATCCAACTACATAATCTTTTCCTCTGAAAAAGAAATTATAAATATATATTTATATACATATTGTTTGCATTTCAATCAAGCTTAAAATATCAATTACCCTATCTGTTGCATACATTGTAATTCTCGTTCAATTTTTTCAGGATGTCTAGTAGGAACTAAATGTTTCAATGCAAATTTTTTAGAGCCATCAGATAGTTTTAAAGTAGCTAAGTACACAGAACTGAAAGTTCCTTCTCCAACTTTTCCATGTACATGAAATAAATCTTTTATTAGTGGAATTGTATTTTTAACAGCAGCATTATTTTCTGAAATTGTATATTGTTAAGTTTTGATTTTTTTCTATAATTTCAACAAATTTTTGTAAATAAAATCTTTTACCATCATCATTATCTTCTTCCATTTGAGTTTTTTCTTCCATGACTTCAATATATCATTTAGTTTACTTAATCGAATAATCAAACAATTATTTTAAAATTACTTAGTGTAAGAAATTAATAATTTCACCATTTAACATTAAGAATTTAGCTGTCACGTGTATGATAACCTATTAAATATTAGACATTGGCGCCATTCTAAATATTGAAACATGCACATATTAATGGTGTTTAAATAATAAAGTAAAATATCACATTAATAAAAAATGTATAGATTTAGAATCTAATTATTGTATAATGATAGTAATTATTGTATAATGATGAATTTTTAGTAAAATCTAAATTTTTATAATTGCGATAAATATTATTTGCAATTTTATTTCTCAAATAAGTTGTTACGCTTAATATGTAAAAATGTAATAATTATTTCAAATTTATATACCTATGCAGATTTATAATATGTATAAATTTCTTCCGAAGTATATATTTTTTAGAATTAACACTTTTAGCTAATATGTGTATATACATACTTAGAAATTTTTATGTGTATATATATGTACCAAGCAGCAAGCTGGTGTATTTATCGTTACAAAAAATTTCGGTTATATTTATTATTCTAAATGTAATATTGTTATATATAGTTAAACAGCAATAATAATTAATATTTTGAAAATATAAAAATTATTTTTTAATACATTTTAATACATAATTTAAAAAGAACTTTCTAAGTTCTTTTAAATAGAGGTTAAGGTAAGAAACATATTAATATTTTGATTGAATTGTATTAATATATTTCTATTTTGATTATATTTATATAAAGTTTTTTATTATAGGTTGCATAAATATAGAATTATTTTGCAGTTTAAAGATATAGAATTGAATTCAAAACAATTGGGACATTTCCTAATCTATCTGTTATAAGAAGTAAGGAATATGGAGAAAAGTTTGTTTAATATCAATTCATCCAAATCATCATCACAGTCATTAGAAATAAGTGAAAACAGAATGGGAAATGACATGAATTTGGATAAAATAGCGCTTTATCTTATTAGTACTAAAGAAAGGTTTAGAGAAAATATTATAATTCCAAGAACTGTGGGACCTATACAACTTAAAACTGATCTTCAAGAAGTAATGGACAGTTGCATCGGGAAAAGTATTATTTCTTCTGTTATAGGTATATTTATATTGTATATTATAAAGTAACTATTATTTATATCAGTATAATTAAAAAAAATTAGATTCGTAGGATATGGCATAGGAGCTGCAATGGGTTTATTCACATTTAGTTTATTTCCAAGTATGGCAAGCATTGAAAAACAGCAAACTGTTCGTGAAGTTTTTATAGAAATGAAAACTACAACACTAAGTCATGCAAAAAGTTTTGCTGTATTTGGTTTTGCATGTGCAGCAATTGGATGTGCGATAGAATCGGTAATAATTCTTTAAATTTAATATGAAGTTGTAGGTTAATTTACATTTATCTATTTATCATAATATTTTACAATTCCCTTTAGTATACAGGAAAATCTAATTTGAAGATTGAGGCATGTGCTGGTGGTTTAGCAGGTGGAATAATAGGTCTAAGAGGTACTATTTTATGTTAAATTTAAATATAACTTTATATATTATTTATACTTGAATTTAATCTTGTGTTTTAGCTGGTGCGAAAGCAGGTTTATTTGGAGCAGCAAGTGGTGCAGCATTTTTAACAGTGGCAACCTACTATATGCATAAATATTAAACAATGTTATAAGTTACAGTAGATATATATTTCTATAAAAAAAGTATAAAACACTTCGAATATGCCTGTACAATACATATAAAAAGCACAAGAACATTCTTAGTATAAAAATGCATACACATAAGTACAATAGTTAAAAAATAAAGTAAATTCACGTAATACATCAGTATTCATTGTACCTACATTCTTACAAATCTCCGCTTTTCAACATAATGTATTAATTGATCTTTTTTAAGATACAAATTATAAAATGAATTAAATGGCTACTAGTATATATTATTAATTAAAAATAAAATTGATGTTATTTGAACATAATACTTTACATATTGCGAATATGTATGTAAACATGTAAATCTACATTTTATATTTAACACTGTATATCACGGCAAAAAGTAAATGCTGTAGTGTTTGCATATATTGAATGATTATTGACAATTTAATATTGGCAGTCTTAAAAATTTGTTATATAAAAAAATATACATAGAATGTTGGACGATATGCAAATTGTATACCTTTACTAATATTTTTGTCAATCGTGTAAAATATCAATCTTCATAAAATGTCATTATATATATTTATCTATACAACAAATATTACTTCTTTATTATTAAATTCACATTGTACCTCATGAATCTTCTTTACCTGTTTTAAAATGTGATTTTCTATATTTTCTATATTACTTAAAAAGACTACGTCTGCTTATCTTTATGTATTATAATATATCAATACTATATGATATTTTACCGAATATTAGCTGTATTACATTCGTTATTTCAAGAAGTACAAATTGTTTTATAATAGCTTTATTTTATAAAAGGATTATATACTATTTTTGATATTTGTATTTTAATAATTAAAATTATAAGTTGTTTTATTAAAGAAAAATATGCAAGGCACTTATTACGCATTCTGTGTTGTGTAATTATGAAATTATAGTTACTTTATCTATAATTAGCTTTCTGTACTTTGAATTTACTTTACTTGTCGATTTTGTTAACACATTCGATTTTATGTCTAGTTAATTACACATAGTTTTTTGAATCAAAAATATTCAATAAAAAACGTATATTTCTTGATTAAGATTGTCAAAAATAAATTCTTGAAAATTGTAAATTTATGTTTAAATTGTCTTGAATAGCATTAATTAATTAATTAATTAATCATTTAATACAACTTTTTGGCACCTGTAATGGCGAAGAATTAATTTTTCTTCACACATTTGTGCAGAAAGCATATATAATTAAGGTTGTTGTTGTTGCATTTGCGCCTGCATTACAGCCACTAGCTCCTGCATTCGTCGTAATTCAGCTTCTTTTTCTTGTAAAATACGATCCTTCTCAGATACAGAATTGCTTCTTTCAGATTCTGCAATCCTATTAGTAAAAGGATTGAATTAAAAAGTATGGTCCAAATATTTTCTTATAATTATAACATCATATTTACGTTTGTCTCCGAGGTGGTACAGGAGCTCCTTTTGCTAGTCTTTCACTGCGATAATTTTCATAATGTACCTCTTGAGTTACTTCTTGTAAATCTTGCATATGTGTGCTATAAATATAAAAAAACAATAAATAATGAATATTTCCTTCAACACTTATATATATCCTTTTAAATAAATACCACATACATTAACATTGTCCTTAGTTTTATAAAATCACAATGATCTGGATTTTCAACTTCTACTACACCCCATGGATACAATCGTCCACGTACTTTTCGTCCTTTTACTTCTAATAAGGTATTTGCTCCACATACAGCAAATGGAACTGCTTCTTTTAGTTGTCTAACTTGTTCTTTGTAATCTTCATCTTCATCGCTATCACAATCTGGTAAAGGATAAATCTTTATACCACTACCTTCAATTTCTTCCATAACTCGTTTTTTTAAACGCAGTACTTCTTTTTTCGTAAGTACATCAGCTTTTGCAATCACTGGCACAATATTAACTTTATTATGAAGTTGTTTCATAAATTCTATATCCAAAGGTTTTAGTCTGGTAAAGATAAAAAGATATATAAAGGCATCGATATTTTATAAAGCAATAAAAAAAGCATGTAATTAATATATCTTACCCATGTCCGAATGGAGAAATAAAATAAAAACAACAGTGTATTCTATTATCTACTATATTCCTTCTATTTAAACCACTTTCATCACGTAAAAATCTTTCAAATTGATCATCTATATATTGTATGATAGCTCTAAAACTATCTGTATTATCAATTGCATCTCCATAACCTGGGGTGTCAACAACAGTTAATCTAAGTTTGACACCTCTTTCCTCAATCTCCACAGTTGAAGCATCAAGTTTAACAGTTTGATTAGTTTTCTCTGTTTAGATTATATTAATATATTGACTATAATATATGTGAGACATATATATAGTTGAAAATATATAAACAAAGATTAATTTACCTATGGCATCAGGAATTATACGTTCTGGATATAAATCAGTAAGGAACAAACTATTTACTAATGTAGATTTACCAAGACCAGATTCTCCAACAACCATCAACGTAAATTCAAATCCTTTTTTTACTGATTTTCTATGAACTTGATTAGGTAAATTTGCAAATCCCACATATCCAGGTGTTTCAAGACTAGCAAACTATCAAAAACAAGGTAGAAGTTGACAAATCAAAATCGTATTTCAAATGCATATTTCGTAAAAAATTTCAGATTTAGTAAATAATACAAACAACTTCTTTTTCATAATAAAAAAGTATGCGAAAATATAAAAAAAAGTTTACGTTTCAATTATATTATACCCACCGTTTTTACGCTTTCACTAGACATTTTTTCGTATTAATTCGATCTGACGGTAAGAAGACGTTAATATCGTTGCGTGCTGTCTTTAAATATTATCGAGAAGGATCAAAAACTGAATTTCAAGTTAACAGGCGCCGTATTGTGACAGAAGGCAAGATACCCGAAATATACGCACATATATCATGAATAAGATGAATAATAGGTTATTTGAACTTAAAATTTCCTGTTTTAATTGACATCACTTTCCTATTATCTGCATGCATTGAATAAACAAACAATATTATATTTAACAGAATTAAACACTTCTATTATAGATTCATTGAATATGAAACAAAGATATTGCACCGACTGTACAGGAAATGTTACGGTACATGGGAATATTGTATATCTGTGTTAGGAATAAGGAGGGGTACCCTTAATAAGGGAGAAGTTTAGGCGTGGCTACCGAAATAAACTTTGGTATTCCATAAAACGTACTATGATTATAATTTTGTTTTTAAGTTACAAAATTCCTTAACATAAATTAATGTTAAATATTTAGTTTTAAGTATAATAATTGATCTTAATTAATTATAATCGTATATTCGCTTAATATTTAAAAGTTATATTAAAATTGAATATTAAATTATTTAATAATACAACTTACAAAATATTAAGAATGTTATACATTATTCGCAGTTCAAATTATACATAAATTTTATTTTCTGTTTCTTAATTTTCTAAAGATACATTACACAAATACAAGGCAAACGACTACTTTATTCAGGAAATAATATCATATACAAGCATAGTTTTATATAATATTTGTCATTAATTCAAGTTTTTCTTTACTTATTATCTCATAATCATCGATACCTTCTTAAATGATCAATATTTATTACTAGCATAATTAATTAATTCGTTACACAATAGTAATGCGTAATAATCAACACATTATCCTCATACCATTCAGTGATGTATAATTTTTTCAATCACTCAAATATTTTTTATTCTTTATAAATATTTGTTATTTCACAAGCGCGTAAATAATTGCTTAATATTTTTGATCATATATGACTTTTTATATTAAACAATTATTTATAAATCATCTGAATATGCTCATACAATGATTGGTGTTAAAGTGAAACATAAAAATTATAAGGAGGGAAATGAAAAGAGGGACAATGTTTCTTGTACTCCTTCAAACAAAGATTATTCGAGTACGATACTATTAGAGAAGATCAGTTTTTATATGGAATCAAATGTATGTATGGTGATAGTATATATTTGTAATAGTTTGTACACATACCATCAATATTATTATAATCTGATACAAATACCCAACATGAAATTGACGTGAATATTAAAATGTACTTTCCATATCACATCATTATTCACGTGTATACACATATATATACACACATATAATTCAAGTGTTTGTGTGTGCGCGCGCACGTGTGTACATATATATATATATATATATATTATACATACATACATACATACATACATACATATATATATATTTATATATATTATACATATATATATACACACGCACGCACACGCACACACACACATATATATATATACATACATACATATGTGATACGAGTGACCATATGCATATATATATATAATTACACATAACCAATATTACTCAGCATGCATGGTGCATACAATTTTTACTTCACATTTCCAATTTATTATTATATTTTTTTAAAACTAAGAAGTTAGTGTAAAGAGAGGGGGGCACTCGATGAAAAATTTTTATTTTTAATTAAAAATGTCAAATACGTCGAACTTAAGAATCTCGTGAAATCACTTTTCATTATTATTGTGGGGAAGACTCCCCTTAGGGATAAATAAAAATTATTCCAATTTCATCTCAGAAGAGATTTTCCCCACTACATTGGAGGAAATTAGAGGATCTTGATTTTTGTTTTCAAATATTTTTGTTGGGAAAGTTCCTTTCCCTGAAATTTAGGGAATCAGAAACTAATAATGATAGTGTGTTTACTTGTCATCAGTATTAATTTTTTCCTCCCGAGGTTTTGCACCACCATAAATTGAGCTTGATTTACTTGATTCAGCAATTGCATTTATCGGATCTTGAATTGTTCTTGGTGCTAGTACCAGACGTTTTCTTCCACTTGTATCAGCTGTAATAACAATATTAGGAATTATTTTTATCATTTTAAAGATAAAATTTCAGAAAAATATTTATATACAGACAAACCTGGAGGTGGATCTTTGTGAAATGGTTCATCATGAAATGGTTTTCGTTCCGGTCCAGTTCCACGAGGAAGTGGTCTATTGCCATATGATTTAGATGATGCATTACGTGGCCATTCTCGACTTCCACCTCCTGTATCATCATTAAACTGACTATAGTTACCCCGGTTACCCCTCATGTCCCATGTACTACCTTGTCTACCAGCATGACCTTGGCCTTGGCCTTGACCTACATAGCCTCCTGCACAATTATTATATAAAGTTTAATTTCTAATAACAATATGCCTTTGTGTATATATATACTTTGAGTATATGTGTATGCATACACAATATAAGAATTTATTTTAAAACAGTTATTTAAAGTAAAATTTGAAATCTTGCATTGGAACTTTAACTACTACTGAGTCTATCAAATTAGTTTATGAAGTCAAACTTAAAATATTTATGATATACGTTATGCAAAGCATAACGCTTACTAGAATACATAGATTTGCTTCCAAAATCATCACCATATCCACCACGGCCACCATCTCTCCCTCTAAAGCCTCCTCCACTACCACCGCCACTGCGACCTCTTCTGTCAAATCCACCTCCTCGATCATTTCTTTTACCCTCTGCTACATCTATTTTGATGACACTTTTATCTACTTCTACTGCTCCATCCATTTCCAATGCAGCTTCTAAGTCTGCCAACTCTTCGAATTCAACATAACAAAAGCCCTTAAACCTATAAAAACAAAATAAGATAATAAGTAAGACAGTGATAAGATAACAACTTTCACATTACAGAAGATGTATAATATAATCACATCAAAATTAACTTACCTATCAGTTTCTTTATCTTTCACCAATCTGATTCCTTTAACATTAAGTTTTTTGAAAATTTTATCAACATCTCCTTGTACAATTCCATTTGGCAAATTTCCCACAAATGCGGTATATGGTGGTTCGGTTGGCAATGGTTTTCTGCCACTTCGATATCCACCCCCATAATCTCTGCATAAAAGCAATTTACATTTATACACAGAAATTTTGTCAAATTAAATATTGTTTTATAAAAACATTTTATACACTGAACTTTGTACAAATTTTATACAATTAATATTCGTAAAAGAATGTAGCACCACTTTTACGTTTCACTACTTTTTAACCTCATTTAATAAAAAATAACATTGAACACTTCAGAATTGATACATAGTAATTTAATATTTCAAAAAATTACACAAAGTTTTGTATTCACTTTCAAGTATTAACTAAAGAATAGCAGAAGTATGTGGAATTTTATAATTCTGGCACTCATTTAGGCACTAACTTTCTTAAGCACATATTCTAACAAACTATGTAGAGTTAATTACTTTTGTGTATTGTATTAAATAGTATTTCTAAACAAATGGGTTGTGTATATCGCACGAATTCTAAGTTAGCATCTTCGTTACTAATGCTATGACTAAGATAGACTATTGTTTGGCCGGCCAAAATAAAGCCGCGTGTCGAAGGTACCATATCTGCAAGGTGCTGCGCTGCACTCTAATCGAAACTCACTTAACCTTAAAATCGTAAAATTATTAAAGAACAAAAACATTTTTTTACTGGTTCGATGTAATGGTTAAATATCACCCTTGCTCTATATCGAAAAATCTCAATAACTATCGTACACGAAAGAAATTTTACCCTATACTTGCCTTAAATCTTCGTAACCACCTCGACCAGCCATATTGCATACACGAAACTGACCGGGACCGCGCGGGTCGAGTACAATACTATGTTCAAGATGGCACTTCTCTAATCACTAAAGAATTTGAAATCGTGAATCTATGCAAACTTACTTAGTTCAGGTACCGTTTCACCTATTAGTATATTTTGACAATATTTTATGAAACGATTAAAAATTTGTAGTGGGGGATACAATCGCTGCTGCTTTTAATATGAATTTGTCGACTATTAGATTATGATAAGTCCTTTTTAGAAAATAATTTATTTATGTAGTTGAGTTGCATAATATTACTAAAAAATTTTATTTATAGCAATTCGACAGTTTTAGAAAGGTACGAAATTTTTAACGAAAACGATTGACAGTCTATGTAATTAAAAAATGAAACGTACATTTTTAATTTCATATTCTATTCATTATGTGTTTCATTTAAATAACGATTATTGCAAGATTGTTAAAATATTAATTTGTTCGACTGTTTTGATATTTTTCTCATCTAGGTACTTATTAGATTAACATAGTTCTAGTTGAACTAAAGCAAGATGGCAGACGAGACTATGCACATGGCAGAGGTTGTTTCAAATAACTTTGAAATGAAAAATATAAGTAAAGTAGATTGTAAAATGCTTGATTGTTTTACTCAACTTATAAATGAAGTAGAATCAGAAAGAATACATGGTGGGATTGCCTTATTGAAATATTTAATTCAAAAAAATTCAGTAAGTGTTTATTTAAAGATAACCTTAAAATAAATCGTTTTTGTATAGGATGAAAAATAATCAGTGTTTTAATCGATAAATTATTTATAAATATAATGTCTTAGGAACACAATGATAGTCAAGAATTTAAGTATGCTATGAAAAGGCTTATTCGAAGCCTAGGCTCTTCAAAAACGAGTTCACGTATAGGTTTTTATACGACTTTAACAGGCTTTCTAACAATGAATCCTGATACGTCTATAGAAAACTTTTTATCTATAGTAGACAATGAATTACAACCAGTAAACAGCAATAGCAAAAGTGTAAGAAAATCAATTTGTTTTATGTTATCATAGTAAGCATTTTGTATTTAGTATCAACTATATCATTTCAGGAAAATGGTGACATTTATATGGGACGCATATTGGGATATGGAGCATTAATAAGGTCTAAAATACTCTCAAAAAGCTCTAGTGCAATACAATTACAAACTATTCAAAATCTTATCAGTGCAGGCAAACGACGTAGTTATTTATCATTTGTTTCTGTTTCATTTCTTGTTGAATTTGTGAATCAAGTTGATACTAATTGTATTAAAAGATCAATTTGGCCAATTATTGAAAAAGAATTTGGCAAGCCATGGGCAGAACAAACATTAGATTCATTTTATGTTTTGTTAGTAATAAAGAATAAATGTCCATCACTTGTAAATGATAAATTTTCAAAAACACATTTTGGTACAGAACATATTGTTACTAAAGAATCCATGAATGATATAGTAAAAGTACTACTGGTAAGTATAATCTATAATTTGATTTATGCACATTATTTGTAAAAGGTATATTAATTAATGCATTATTAATGCTTAGGGCTTATCCAGAATTATATCATGTCATCATCCAGTATTCAAATTATTTTGTGAGAATTTAAAATCAACTGAACTAATTATCGATTTTTGGACTCGTATAGATCAGAAATTTGCAAAGCCATCTAAAACTGATGAATATTTAGTTATACAAATCCTGAAATTGATATTGTCAAATATCGTAGATAAATCTATACTTCCGTCATTATTGTCACCAAACTATGTGCAGCATATGTTAAAAAAATGTTCTGGATCTAAAAATCATAACAAAGATGAAGTACTTCTTGGATTTAAAGAAGTCTTAAATTTGTTAATATCAGCTACAAACAGTGATGATACTAAACTAAAAATACAAATTGCTGTATTAAAGAAATTAATATTGTATCCAGGTGATTTAATGATCGAAAAAAAAACAGGTACAAAAATAATTCAAATGCTTACTGGAAATTTGAACTTAGATGGTATAAAGAAAGTATCAAAAATATACAGAGGTATAATTGAAAATACAATATCTAGGGATAAATCAAATGTCCAAGCAGAATCTTTTTGGACAAATGCTGAAAGAATTTATGCTGCTCATTTATTAACAAGGTATTTGATATTTCGAGAGGTGGCATCTAATATGTTTTATCTTTGGTGCAGTAATTTACGTATATTTCTGAATATATCCAATTTATTTATTATGTTTTACTAGATTAATAGGACATCCTAAAACGCTTATGGATAGAGAATGGAGATTAGATCAGTTGAAGTTTTTATTTACTTATGGATTATGTGAAGTGCCTAATGTTGGGGTAGATCTAGCTCGTAAATATTATTTATATATTTAATATTATAATATACGCATATATTTTTCCTTGTTTCTGTAAATTGTACCCTTTTTGTTTATAGCTCAATTTAAGGAAACATTTTATCATGCACTAGATCATAAATTACCAAGGTTGAATGATCTACGAAGTATATTAAGTGAATTAGTTCATTTTGTGAATATTAATTTGAAAGAGCAAACATTGAAATTAAGGAATCCACTAACGAATGAAGTAAAAAATTCGTGGGAGAAAGTTATATATTCAATAAAAAATTTAGAAAATAATTCGAAAAAGACAGAAGCTGTACCAGTATTTCATACAATGAATTTACACATGGGTTTACAATTATTCTCAGACCCACAAATGGCAATTATGGCTATTGATGAACTACAAAGTTGTTATGAAAGAGTATTAAAACAGACTAGAAAGCATAAAACTGGTAGTAATAAAAAGCTAAATGATGAGCCAGAGTGGGTAGAAGTAGTTGTTGATTTGTTATTGTCTTTTTATTCTAAAAATAGCCATTTGTTACGATCATTAGTGGGATGTGTGTTCCCACATATTTGTTCCTATGTGACGCCAACAGCTATACATCAAATATTAGCAGTATGTAAATGTTATAAATGTAGTTAAAAAATTAGTGACTCTTATATTTCGAATTTTCTATTTCTAGGTATTAGATGTAACAAATGAGAAAGGACCACTTGTAACAAGAAATAGTTATGATAATGAAGAAGAAATTTCATCAGATGTAGAATCGGATTCTGACAGTGAAGAGGATAATAAAAGTGATGGAGAAAATACTAATGATGAAATGGAGACTTCGTCGGATAATGACTCTGATTCAAATGAAGAATCAATGAGTGAAAATGAAGATGAGACATTAACTGATAGATTACGAATGGCAGTAAGTCAAGCATTAGGTGATGTTTCCGTTCAAATGGATGATGATGATATAAATGTAGATAACATCGGCGAGGAAGAAGGAAAACGATTAGATGAATCATTAGCAGCAGCATTTAGAATTCTTCGAGAAAATCGTCAATCGCGATCCAAAAAACAAGAAAAATCAGCCCAAGCTTTAACGCATTTCAGAATTCGAGTCATAGATTTACTAGAAACTTATTTAGAATGTGCCCCATCAATGGCAATTGTACTTGATATGTTACTTCCTCTCTTTACCTTATTAGAATATTGCATAAAAGATCCGTATCAAAAACCTCTTTATAATCGAGTTCGATCTTGTTTAAAAATATTATCAATGGTAAAAAAATTTAAAGATACAGAAAATGTTGATGAAGAATTATTAATAGTAATATTAAAGGTAATTATATAATACTTCATATCAACTTACTTGAAATTATACTTTATATCAACATATAATTAGAAAAAAAAATTGTACGTTTTAAGGCTTTAATAGAGAAAGGAGAAAGAACCACATCAATTTATCACGAAATGAGTGATAAATTAGCTGAGTGCTGTACGTTCCTTGTAAGATGTGCCCAGCAAGCTATTGTATCCACAGATACAATAATTAAAATTTACAAGGAAAATTTAACAGCCTTTTTTAAAAAAAGAGATTGTGTACTATCCCCTCTATTATTTAAGAGCGTATTACAGTTACAATGGGAGGGTAACTGGCAGCTAGCTCCTTTACTGGTAAATTTTTGGTTTTTATTTTAGTAGATTAATTAAGTTTTAAATAATAAATAATTTTAATATTTATTTTTATAGGTTGACTTTGCGTTTGATAGTACTGTAAGGTCTTTTCGTAGAGGATATGCTCTAGAATTTTTAATAATTTTTTATAGTAATAGTCGATTAGTACATTTAGACACCAGACATTCTGATGTAAGAATGAAACTGGAAAAGACATTATGCAGCTGTACTATGACTACACTTCAAGGAATAATTAATATGCACAAAATTGAAAATGAACAAGTTGTTACATCTAATGGTACTGCAATAGGGAAAGAGGTCAGACAAAGATATATTTTTCTTCTGTTAACATTATTGCGAAGCATCTACATGCATCATTTAAAACAAGCATGGAATTGGAACGACATTGGGAGTATACTCACAACATACAGAACTCACGTATCACTTGCGAAAGATACGAAAGTAGCATACAATAGATTAGCAGTGCAGATTGGAATTCCAGTGAATATGTAAGTATACTAATTGACAAAAGTATAACGTTAATTTTATTGTTATATAAAATTAAATAATAATATTCGTTTTATTATCTTAGGTCACAGAAAAAAGCTAAAAATAAACAAAATGCTATAGTAAATGGGGAGATCAAAAATGCTACAAATAATGTAGAGCAGTTAAATAATACACAAGAAAATGGAAGTATAAAAAGCGATTCAGATACTTCTACATCACAGAGGCATGAATTCAAAAAAAAGAAAAAAAATAAAAGTAAACAGAGAGATAAACAATTATTGAAAAAAGAAGCTCGGATGTTGCGTCAAAAAGTAACGTCTGAAGGTTTTGAACCTTTTAACTTCAGTTCTTTTATTTTTAATGACCAACCAGATAAAGATGTATCACTCTTTGAGAATGGAAATTCTCAAATTGGACAGACTAGTTCTAATTCTTCGCAAAAGAGGATGCTTAAAAGTATATCAAGTGGTAATAAAGCAAAAAAAAGAAAAAGTATGCAAACTGCTTGATATATGAAGTAAAAATGAATTGTTATTTTTATATAAGCATTTATAAAAGTATGTATTAAAGAGTCTTTTTTGTACAGCTTTAAAATATATAAATAAACCTTTTACATAAGCTATTAACGTTATATTAATGTATTAAATTATATTAATGAATAAGTTTCCTTCACATCTTTTATTGTAAATTTTCATTTCGTGAAAAATATAAATTTTAAAATATAAATTTATTGTAAGAAATGGGAATGTATGTTAAAGAGTATATGAAATCATTTTTAATGTTACGTTTCATGGTATTTTAATGGTAGGAGAATTGCTTATTAACTGTGACTAATAATGTTACAAAATCATTCGCATGAATCCAAAGGTACGGTCTTAAACATAAATGTGACAATGAGGGATTCTATAGAGGGGGATCATCATTTTAATTTTAATACCATCAGTAACGTGTACTTTTGGAAATTTCATATGGTGCCGTTATGTGAGGAAATTAAAATACTGCGAGGGAATACTAGTAAGGGAATTAAAATACATCAAAATAATAACATCAATAACAATAATAATAATCAAAAGTTTAAGTCGTAGGACTTGTACGTTATTGTCGAGACCTATTTATATACACGTGTATGACTGCAGCTATAGTCAAAACTTTCGAATTAGTGGATTTCTTGCCCCTTATACTTTCTGATTCTACATGTCGTAAACTACAAGATTGTAAAAAAGTTAACAATTTTTGGTTCTCTAAAATAACATTAATTGATATTTGTGTAGTAAATATTCTTTATTATCGTGAAAATATAACCTAACTAAAATTAAAATTAATATACTCATATCATATTGAGGTTAACCACGAGATAAGAATATTCCCCTACAAAGTATATATTGTTCATTTAATATTTCTAAATATATTTTTACGTAAATACTTGAATTTTCATCTGTAATAAGATGAAAAAGGGACTTAAAGAAGTGAACACAAAGAGTGCTAAGTGGTATGAAGAATATCCTAAAGAAGAGGAACCATGTAAACATTCAAAATCTGAAATAGAAATATCGAATTTAAAAAATGAAGCAAAAAGATATTTAGATGCAGAAACTTCTGTTTACCAATTAAAAGAATCAAAATGTACTGATTCAGAAACAGCATGGTTAAGAACAGCATTAACACAGGGTACAACCTCAGATAAAGTAGCAGCTGCTATCATATTAGTGCAAGACAATCCAAAATACAATTTAACTCGACTTACAAAGCTTATAAATCAAGTACGAGTTGCAAAACATAATCAATGCAATATGGTGATAAAATCTTTAAAAGATCTGTTTTTATCAGATCTACTTCATCCTAAATTTAAATTACTGAAATTCGAGGAACAAAATTTAGATGAACTTGACAAATTTAGTTCTGGAGATGCACTTATTAAATTAGGTTTATCAAGAAAAAAACTAATGGCTCATTGGTATTTTGAAGATCAATTACATGAACAGTATGAACATTTTGTAATGTCTTTAGCTACTATTGCATCTGATACCGTGGATGCAAATCGTGAAATAGCAATATCAACAATGAAAGATTTATTAATAGGAAATGTTGAACAAGAACATAAGTTATTAGAATTGATTGTTAACAAAATAGGAGATCCAAGTGGTAAAATAGGATCTAAAGTTATATTTTGTCTAAATAAGTTATTATATGAACATCCCAACATGAAACTTGTTGTATTACGAGAAGTTCAAAAATTATTATTTAGAAAAAATGTAGCACAACGTGCTCAATACTATGCAATATGCTTATTGACGCAATTTCTTCTAACTAAGAAGGATGAAAAGCTTGCATCTACACTCATTGAAGTTTATTTTGCCTTTTTTAAAGCTTGTTTAAAAAAGGGAGAGCCAGATTCTAGAATGATGGGAGCAATTTTAGCTGGTGTAAATAGAGCATATCCATTTGCAAACATGGATTCAAATATATTGAATGATTATATAGACTCTGTATACAAAGTTGTACATATTGGATCTTTTAATGTTTCTTTAAATGCACTTAACTTATTATATCAGGTAAGTATGTAAATTATAATATATTAATTATAAGAGGTCCAACGTTTTTATTTTTTCTTTTGTTCCTGTAGATTACAGGTAAAGATGAAGCCCAATCAAACAGATTTTATTCAACCTTTTATCGGAAATTATTAGATCCACAAATTGGGGTGGCAAACAAACGTGCACTGTTTCTTAATCTATTATTCAGAGTTCTCAAAAATGATCGTAACAAACAACGTTCATATGCTTTTGTCAAAAGAACTTTACAAATCATATTATATTTTCCTGCAAATATGGCATGTGCTACTTTATATGTGATATCCAAAGTTTTACAGACAAATAAGGAATTAAAAACTTTTTTATTAAAACCTCGAGATTTTATCAAAATTGAAAATGAAGATCTTGAATCTAAAGATAGTTCATTAAGTCCAGAAAATAAAAATATCTCTTATCCTTCTGATGATAGATCCAAATTAGAAGACTCCATTTTATTAACGAATGTTATATCTGAACACAATATTGATAAGGAAATTAATTCTGAAAATAAAATAGGAAATAACATAAAAATTGATTTCGATTCACATAAGGAATATGACCCCTTTTGTCGCAATCCTCTTTATGCTGGAATAACTAGAGGTCTAAATACAGAGTTCATAACATTATCTAAGCATTATCATCCAAGTGTTGCATTATTTGCAAATACTATTCTTGAAGGTACTTAACAGTACAATTATTTTCACATGTATTACTTGCATATAAAATCAATTTAACATATTAAAATTGTAACATATAATTTTTATAATTATAGGGAAACCAATCGATTACACAGGAGACCCGTTAGAAGATTTATCCTTAATGCGTTTTCTAGATCGTTATGTTTTTAAAAATCCAAAAAAGTTAGAAGATAAAAAAGTGCAGAGAAGGAATGACCCTTTAGCACAACGTGCAGGGTATACACCTAAAGGTATTAGATGTGTTCCAATTGATAGTATGTCATATCTCAATGAAAGAGAAGAACGCATTCCAGTTGATGAATTATATTTATACCGATATTTAAAAAAGAAAAAAGAATGTAAACACGAACTTAAAGTTGAAGATGATGATATAGAGAGTGTTAATAGCGAAGAATTTGACAACATGTTAGACAGATTAACAGATAATAAAGACTTTGGAGATTTAGATATTGCAGCTGATATTCAAAGTGGAAGAAAGAAGAAAGGTATGTATCTATTTTTTGTAATTTACTTTTAATCCAAAAATTATTTTTAAGATATTTCATATTATATGAAAACTAAAAATAAACATTTATTATATTTGTAGATATTGAGGAAGAAGATGAATATTTTGATGATAATAAAAGTGAAGATAGTAATAATTCTCACGATATACATGAGTTAGAAGAAAATATAGATAATGATAATACTGATGATGAATTACAGAATTTAAGTGATATTGATTTAGATGACGATGATGCTAGTGATTTGGAGTTTGATGAAGATATTGATGAAGCTTTGGATGATAGTATTCAATCAAATATAAAGAAGCAAAATAAAAATTCAAAAGGAATTGATAGCAACATATTTGTATCAGCGGAAAAATTTGCAGAAATGTTAGAAGAACATAGTAAACAAAAAGGTAAAACTGGTGGCACAAATGCATTTAATACTTTGGATGGTGCAAGTTCGAAACAAATAGATTGGGAGATTAAACGACATCAGAAACTCAGAAATTCTTTAAATAGAAATAAACGGAAAGGTTCCAAAATTTTTAAAAGAAATGTAAAAAGGGTTAAACATTAATTATAAAATAAATATATTTTAAAAGCTTTTATATAGCATGCATTTCTTGCCGTGTTCGCTGCCACCAGAAAAATTGTGCATGTTATACGTTAACAATCTTTCAATAGTAACAAACGTATTAAAGATTTAAAGCATTTATAAATTACAAAAAATGGATGCTTTAATTGATACGTTATACAAATTAAGGAACTACACATATACCTATATACTAAAACATTTTTTTACTTTACTTTCATAATTACTAGACACAAAAACATTAATCTGCATTACATTGTTGATACTGAATGTTGTAAAAAAGATAATTTAAATCGTTAATAGACAGTTAACATATTTTCAATTTGATGCATTATGTAAAAGATTAATTTACAAAAACAGTAAAAAGATTTATTTTTTTTTTGACAGAAATATTCGATACTTCCACTATAATAACGCTATTATCTTATGTAAAAGTATTTTTATCATCAAAAAGGTTTTTACAAATTAAAAGATTATTTTCATTCATATTTCTGTACTTACTGTACACTGTCACGTTGTATTTGAATAAAAATAATCAAGCTTTCAACTTCTTTAGCAACAACCGCAACTATCGTATAATCACGCTCATCTACTTAAAAGTTAATTGCAAATTAAGCAATCAGAGGAAAAATTACATAAAAAAACACGTTACATTCGAAATACATACTGTTCTAATTTACATTGGACATACTAAACTTTACATTTAAATTAACAATGAAAAATAAACTTTTTATTGATCCTTATACAAAAATGTAACAGTTGCAAAAGAAGTTGCGAGTATAGATTTTATGGAAGTATATTTCCTGTTTTTAAGTGTAAGAGTAATTATATTTGGACTAACAATAACATAATAAGGATGGCCTATCTCTTAATTTTTAAGTTATCAATAATCGTAAAAAAAACTTTAAAATTTATAGTATGACTGTGCAATGATCAATAAATCTTCATATTTTTCATTTTGTACACGCTATTTTTTATATACGACATATTCTAAAGCGTGCTGTATATGTATATCGGAAGGCTGAACGCTACTCTGCATCAGCTTTTACTGAACTTTCTTCGTCATGAGCAGGGCTATGCCATGTCAATCGTTCTTCATAAAACTTTATCACAATTTGCGGACATTTCTCATTGGCAATTCGAGCAGGAACTAAATCTGCATCATCTGTTCCTTTCCATTTCATTAAAAACATCAATTCTCCACTTGAATCTGTTGCACCAATAATTCGTTCAGGTTCCAAATTTCTGTCAAAACCTATGTGTAATTAAAGCGAAGTAATTAAAAACATGTTATATGTATATTATTTAAATATATTGTTTAAGGAGCTAAAAATAAATTTTACCTTCAGGTTTCTTATCTTCAGTCATTTTTTTCTTAGTATGAGTAAGTACAGGACCACCTGATGAACTTTTTCGTTTCTTTTGTTCTTTATCTTCATGCCGTTTACCAGTGGCAGCTGCTTCTTTCTTTTTGCGTTGTTCTTCAAATTGTGCAATTAGATCTGGACAATCAAGATTTTCTTCTGGTTCCCATGTATTTTCTTCATTGGAATATCCTTTCCATTTTAGAAAATATTCAACCTAACAATATGTAGTTAACAAACAGTAATCTTAACGAATATACAAGAAATATATATGTATAATATATATTCAAAATCACATACTTTTCCTTTAACCACTCTCCTATCTAAAACTTTTTCAACGCTGAATTCCTCTCCTCCTGCGCTTTCTCCAGGGGATGATTCCTTCCCTTTGCTCATTCTGTTTTAATACTGCAAATATATTTTATATATAACAAAGGATATTAAAATAAAAATTATACACCATATAACTAAAAAAAAGCATTGACATTGAATATATAGTCATAGTCAAAATAATTCGTTGTATATAAATAATAAATTTATACAAAAAATAACTTTGGAAAAATTATTTCAGTATAAAATAACAATACATTCAACAATTTTGTAAGAAAAAGGTTTAAAGATGCTAAGAGAAACGACCATGATGCAAAATGGCGGTACGACAGCCGGGAAGCAATCAAAGATTTTTCTTGTGAACTTACGGTAAAAGCTAATCGCTAATGAATAATATAAACTAATATTAATATTAATTATGATTACATCTATAACTGTCTGGCCACTATTTTTAATTATGATACTTACTTAGAGAATAGATACAAATTGAGCAAAGATGCAACTACGAATGATGCGGCGGGCTTTCTGGCGCTTTAGCGTCTTATTATCGCGTTGCCGCGAAAAATGACAGTGTGACCAACATTTCATTCGCAAATGATTTTACAAATTTATTGTTCATTGAGGTAAAAAAATATTTTATATCATTGACATTTCTTTATAAATATCTATTAATTTAAAACGCAAAACATCATAATTATTACAAAAATGGCATTAAAATATAATACATTTTTACTATAAATAATGGTTTTTGTTGAAGTGTTAAACATTAAATTCATTATACATTAAACTTTTCTTAAAGAATATCATTTGTTTGGTAATTTTTATATAAAAGTTGTTAGTAAAACAAAATATGAAACTTTTTGATTTGCAATACAATAAATATTTTGTTTAATATTGAAAATATTGAAGTTTGCTGATGTACTGCAATCATTTCTAAAATTAATTTTTCTAACAAATAATTTAGCCAAATAATTAATATTTTAAATCTTTTATAAAAATTATAATATGTAATGTTATTACATGATGCATTATATACAGAATAGTATTAAAAAATATTTAACGTTATATAAAGTTTGTACTGTGCATGGTATTAAAGATTATTTTGGCATTTATAGATGGCACTATTATTTAAAATTTTAATATTGATCTTCCACTCTTTATAAAAGTTATGGATTAAACGGCGTTGGAAGTTTGGAATTTGGAGTTGGCATTGTTGGCATTGTTGGCAAGGACTTTCAAGGTATTGTTAAAATAGAATTTGTAAAGTAATAGTATGTGACCAAACCATGTAGTTTATTGATATTAAATAATTAATATTAAAATTTAATTATATTTTATAATTAATTCGCAGAATAATACTCAAAATGGCTGCCCGATCAGTTATTAAGTATTTACGTCCAAAAACTGTTGTATCTCAAATTCATAGATGTGCTTCACTCTCTGCATTTGAAATACAACATAAAACTCCATCTATTAAAAAGGTAATGCCTATACCAAAAGCTCACTATGGAGGACGACACACAGTTACTGTCTTGCCTGGTGCTGGAATTGGTCCAGAGTTGATGACCTATGTAAAAGAGGTACGACAAAATTTGTATATACCTTTAGTAAAAAATGATCTTTTAGGTATATGTCACTACTTCTATATTCTTTAAATTATTACATTAAATCTCCTGTTAAATTTTTAAACGATATGTTAGAGCAGAAAGTCTTATATAATCTTTTTATATATTTTTTATAGGTTTTCAGTTATGCAGGTGTACCAGTAGATTTTGAAGATGTAGATATTGATCCAAATGCAGATGACAATGTTGATTTACATTATGCTATTACATCAATTCGTAGAAATGGTGTAGCACTAAAAGGGAACATTGAAACTCGTAGTACAGAAGCTGGTGTACTTTCCCGAAATGTTGCTCTTCGAAATGAGTTAGATCTTTATGTAAATGTCTTACATTGTGTATCATATCCTGGGGTAAATTCACGGCATAAAAATATTGATATTGTTATTGTGAGACAAAATACAGAGGGGGAATATGCTATGTTAGAGCATGAAAGTGTACAGGGTGTTGTGGAAAGTATGAAGGTTATTACAACTACTAATTCTGAACGTGTTGCAAGATATGCATTTGAATACGCTAAGCGAAATGGAAGAAAAAAAGTTACCACAGTTCATAAGGCAAATATAATGAAGCTTTCTGATGGGTTGTTTTTAGAAACATCAAAAAGAGTTGCAAAAGATTATCCAGATATTACTCATAATGATATGATTATTGATAATACTTGTATGCAATTGGTCTCCAATCCACATCAGTTTGATATAGTGTTAACAACCAATTTATATGGGGCAATTGTATCAAATGTAGTATGTGGTTTATTAGGTGGTGCTGGATTATTATCAGGTAAAAATTATGGTGACCATTATACAGTGTTTGAACCAGGTACTCGTAATACTGGTACAGGCATTGCTGGGAAAAATATTGCCAATCCTATTGCAATGTTAAATGCTGCTGTTGATATGTTACGTCATCTTGGACATAAGCATCATGCTACGTTAATTCAAAATGCTATCAATAGAACTATTAACCAAGGTATACATACTCGTGATCTTGGTGGACAAGCTACCAGTAGAGAAGTTGTTGATGCTATAATGAAATATATTAAAACAGCATCTGATTAAGACTGATACAGTGTATCTTGCTAAACCTAATATGAGAGGGAGAGTTAAAAAGTAAGTAGTATTTGTATTAAAAAAATGAAGTATTCAGTATTTGAAGTTAGTTTTTATTTGATTAGTATTTATTTGAAAATAGAATCTAAGTACTACTTTTTTACATAATCCCGATGTTTATTGAGACACTTATCACGATACCAGTTCTTCTATTGCATCGTCGAAGAATTGTCTTTCAACTTGCGATAACCATTTTCACGTCGCACTTCGACCTTTTTCATCAGAGCCGTATCACTTTGGAACATCTTTTTTTATTGGCCTGAAGACATCGAAGTCATAAGGGGAAAGGTCTGGGTCTGGACTGTACGGAAGTTGCTATACGTTTCACTTGAATTTTTCTAGTATATCTTCGTGGATCGTGCCGAGTGTGAATGTCCGATCCGACGAACGCGATATGTTTCACGATTGATAACAAATGAAAGGCAATCGTTATGTCGAAAATATCAATATAACCTTAGAACACAAGTATTGAGAAATGTTGTCACTTTGCTGCCAAGTTTCCTCAAGATATTTTTAATATACAAAAAGTTATAGACGAATGCAACTTACTTTTTGACTCACCCTCGTAATAATGTAGAACCATATATATTTAATTTTGCTTTTTAGAAAAAATATTCATTGTGTTTGGTATAATGTTAAAATATCATTGCAGTTGACAGTAGTAAATGTATTCTCTACTTAAAAGGAATTCTATACAATTGTGTAAATCGCACAAAATTATAACAATTTTTAAGTAAAATGACAAATTTGATACCTGTATTATAGTGATATTTCATGTAATATAAAGATATTGTAATATATTGAATTATTAATATTCAAAATTTGTAAAATATATGCTATAAGTACTAATATCAATAGAAATTAAATATTGTAATTATTCTTATAAGACGTGTTTGAGATGTAAATTTTTTTATTTACATCTGAAAATATTTCAGATGTAAATAAAAATATTTTCTTGTAATTATGTAATATTTATACATGTCTTTAATAATTTTATGCTAATGACAATTCACTGAACAAATGATTTAGAGTACAATATATCCGAGGACTTAGTTTATTTCATTTACAAAATGTTTAGATAGTGAAAAATATTTAGTATTAACAATATTGTATTATAGGATATATAAAAATTATTAAAATCTTGATCAGTGAAAATCCTAATATAATAATTCAATTTTGTAGAAGTTGTAATGCTAATTCCTCGTCTACTTTTAAATCTGTATTATCTATTTCATGACATGTTCTTTGTTTCTTTTTCTTCTTTTTATATTCATCTTGTGTTATGAGTTTTCTTTTAGATGATCTGTAAATGATAAAAAAATATGTGTACCAAATATAAAATTAATATTAGAAATAAAACAAATAAAACAAATATATTTTTGTAGACATAATGATTTAATACAAGTTGTTAAAATGCAAACCTATGTATGCTGCTTTCTTCTTCACTTTCCTGTGTTTCTGGAACATTCATAATATCTTCATAATTTTCTTGCTGCTTGCCATAAATTTTATCTGGATCTGGTAACCAGGATAAATCTAAATCACTGTCTGCTTCCTCACTAGCATAGTCGTTTATAGTATTCTCAGTTTCATCTCGATCATCTTCATCATTTTTATCATTTATTTTCTTCTTGCTAGCTTTTAGTTTCCTTTTTTCTTCTCTATGTTTTTCTTTTATTTTTTCTCTAAAGCGTTGCTTATCAAATTTATCTTCTTCGTGTAATATCCGTTTAGCTATTTCTATGTTAATTCCAGAACCTTCTTCATTTTCATATTGTCTAGCTAATTCAGAAACTTTATCTTTAGAGGGATTTAGTAATTCCTGTAAAGTGAAATATGTTATGATTGCACATTTGAGAGATTTATATTTATAATTAATGGAAAAAGCAAGAAAAAATGAATCAAACCTCTCCCCTATCATCAAAAGTAATTTTTTTATTTGGTACTATTTTTTTTCGAAGAATTTTTTTAGCTATTGCGGCTTTTGTAACGGCTTTCTTTTTGTTTGCATTTTCGTCCTGTTTATCACTGATTTCAATTGGTATATCATCAAGGTTTATATTTTTTCGTTTCACAGTTAATATATCATCATCATCGCTATCATCTGTATAAGAAAATAAATGTATTCATATAAAAAAAAAATACATAATTTGATAAATTTTAACATTTATTTTTATACCAAGTGCAAAGTTATTTGGACTTATTGTCGGAGATCTAATTTCTTTTTCTTCTTTATTTTCTTTATAGTCAGTTATTTGCCCATCTACATTGCAGTTTAATTTATCATTAGCAGTAAATTGTTTCATTTTTTCACTATTTTTATCAGATGGTTGTCGTTTTTGTTCCATTCTTTGAAGGAATCGAATTCTTGGAGGTATGGCTAAACCTAAAGATCTAAAACAAAAAAGTTAATTGCAAAACAATAAATCAAAAGTTGCTTATGTCATTAAAATTATTATTACGTGTATTTATATATATACTATACCTTGCAAATAAATCGGTATTTAATGCACGAACATTAAAGACTTCTTTATCTTTCATCAAGAAGACTGATTTTATATATGATACAAATCCTCTTTGAGCACTTTCTTTTAATAAAACATCTCTTGCTAATAGTGCTTCTATTTTACGTTGTGGAGATTGCAATTTATTTGGGTTAATTCTATATATATATATATATTATTTGAATATATAAACATTATGAGTTGTTCAATTATTTATTTAAGAAAGACTTTTAACTCACTGTATCATGGATATTGGAATTTTGCGCTCTTTAAGTTTTTCAATCATTTTTTCTTCAGATGGTAATAAAACCAGCAAGCATTCACCATTTCGTTGAAATCTAGCTGTTCTACCAGCACGATGTATATAAGCATTTACATCTTCAGGACAGTCCATTTGTACAACCCAATCCACAGCAGGGAAATCTAAAATTTATCTAAATTATGAATAGCGATATTCAGGCTAATTTAGAACCACGTGAAGAATCATTCTTTTTCCTTACCTAACCCACGAGCAGCAATATCAGTTGCAAACAAAACTGCAGATTGTTTTTTACAAAAAGTTTCGTAAATTTCCATTCTTCTAAGTTGATGTAAGGTACCATAAAGTGCTAACAAACTTATACCAGGTCTCAATCGACAAAGTACTTCAAATATATATTTTACCTTAAAGATAATAGATACCATAACATTATTCTTCATATTTAGTTGAAATAAATTATAACAAATATTGCTATACCTGTTTACAACTGGAGAAAAAAACAATAATTTTTTGTTTTAAATGATTACGTATGAATGACCACAACATTGAAACTTTGTCTTCTAAAGCGCAAACAACATAACTTTGTTCAAGTGCTTCAGGTGTGGTATGTGTAGCATGTTCATGGACAGACACATACATAGGATCTTTCAAACTCAATCTGGCCAAGTCTCTTACAGACCTGTTAAAAAATTAAATAAACATAATCTAATAAGTATAAAGAATGATTATATTTTACTTCTATTTTAATATGCATACTTTGTTTGTGTTGCAGAAAATAAAAGGGTTTGCCGTTTTGGAGGTAGATTCTCAATAATAGAATTCATGGTTTGCTCAAAACCCATATCTAAACATCTATCAGCTTCATCTAATACCAGTACCTACAATTGTGATAGATAAAAGATATAGATAAATAAAAATACATTGTTATTATTTAATTATTATTTATCTGTTTAATGATGATTAAGCTAATTAACATTTTCACATCAAATGATCCACTTATATTCCTATATCTATTTACCTGCATATTTATACAATCAAATAGTGGATTTTCATCCATATGTTGTAACAAACGACCAGGAGTACATATAACAATATTGCATTGATCCATACGTCTTTTTTCAAATTTTAGATCTTTTCCGCCAATGATAAGACCAGCAGAAATATCATGATGTCGACCAACTTTTCTTAGTGTTTCATATATTTGATAAGCAAGTTCTCTGGTTGGTGTAATAACAAGTGCACCAAGTCCATCTAATCTTGTCCATTGTTTGCAATATAATATCTCTAAGACCTTAAACAATTTAAGACCTTTATTATAAATTTTTGTTACAAATTTCTTTATTAAAGTACTACATAAATTTAATAAAATCTCTTACTGGAATAAGAAACGCCAAAGTTTTCCCACTGCCAGTTTTTGCTGCTCCTAATATATCATTTCCACGCAATGCTAATCCAATACTTTGTCTTTGAATATCTGTCATTGCAATATAATTATTTTCTGTCAGACCCTTTAAAGTTTTCGGTGAGAGTGGAAGATCTGTAAATTTTGTTATTTTCGTTTCATCGATCTGTAAACATATAAATCTTATAAAATCTTATAAATTTTACAGACTTGAAAAAAGAAATTAGAACTTACAGTATCATATTTAGATTGTAGATTAGTAATTATTGTTGTTTCAGGAAATGGTTTTTTCTTCGTATTGTAAATTTTCACTTTTTGTTTCTTTGGCATTGTATATTAGATTTATCTAAGGAACGTTGTATATAACCTATTTATAAGGTTATGTGAACAACTGATGCATATAATTACAACGCCACTGTACAACTAGGCGCTAACTGCAACAGTATTGCTTGACTTACTACAGATATGTGCATATCAAGAATACATATTTGAATATTTAAATAGAACAGCGAAGTACATTAATATTCGTATTTAAATTATATGCAACGAATACGTTATATGTATTAATAATTTTTTTTAAAAGCGAAGAGGTATACGAAATATAAAATAAATAAAAATAATTATTTGAATTATTAATTTTCTTAGTAAAGTATATGTATGTATATATATCTGCTTTCAAGTTTTTAACAGATAGTACATATCATCGGTAATTTATCGATAGAATTAATTAAATGTTTAAGATATTAATTGGCCTTATATTATAATATAAAAGTTGTAGTATCCTATAAGTACATATATGGTATTAATTGCTGCACAAATAATTTGAACGAATTTATTTATAGATTAATTAATTTTTAGCAGTGTGATAAACTGACAGAAATATCATAATTTAAAATAATTATGTCCCAAAATATTCTTAGCTTATATTATTGATTAATACATTATATTAATTAGCACATTAGGTTCGATCAGTGACCAATACGATTATTTTCGAAAGATTAAAAATAGATGAATCAATCTATCAATGAACAAATATACTTGTACATCACGTAAAAAAAAATTACCTTTTACTCGTTCAAATGCGTTGAGACTAATACTCTTTAACGTGATAAATATTGATTTCCATTCGGTCCGAATAGAGAACTCTTACAAAGTAACTTAAGTCGGGAAGTAGTTAATCAAAAGTATCGAGGAAGTAATTAATTGAAAGTTTCATAGTTAAACGATGACCACATTCGTTGGCGGAACAATTTCTTTTTTTTTCTCGAACGAACTTTTGTAAGTATATATAATGTAACAGTACGACATTCAAGATAGAATTTCGCTTGTATTCTCATAAGAAAAATTTCGATGATGAAAAGATTCCTACCCTGGGTAGATCATAATGCACCACATTTTCGATGTGCCACGTGTTATCTGAATCAGTGTCAACAGAAGAAACGCGGGATTGTAATTAAAATACACATGTGTGGAATGCATGTGGATCGTTGCATCGGCGTTTACGTGAAAGAGAAGCGGGGAGATAGAATATTAGAAAGGAGGGATCGAAGTAGAAGAAGAGGAAACGCGTGGGGAAGGGCGACTGCATTGTGACAACGATTATATTCAGATAAATTTCTCGGGCTTTCTCGACTTCACATCCGATCGGTTCGTTAGTGGCTTTACCGATAGTGCGCGTTCTTTTTACGGTGATTGGTATTAGAAAAAGTTCCCTGTGAAAAACATGATTTGACGAAGAAAGGGTAGCATGCGGCGGGACCACGTGAAACAGCAATGGAGAACACTGCGACTGCCTCGCAATATCCACTCCGTTTCTTGGACATTTTGTCTTCTCGTAGCATTAGGACTGTATCCGGTGCTAGCCGATATTATCTTGCAAGACATGGGTAAATGTGCAACAATTCCTTTTAAATCACAATTTGACCAACTTAACAATCAGTTTGACTTTGTGTCCTGACGAATAAGTATACGATTTAGAACAGTAAAACGACAGGCCAAAATGAATACGCTATTTCAAAGCAGATTTTATGATCGTATGTCTGCATTTCGTAATTTGTAATAATATCTATATCGAACAAACCTGAATGAGTATGTATATCTAGAAAGAAATAATTCTTTAAAACATAAGATTCCAGTTATATAGGTTAAATGATCACCGTGTGATATGTACAAGTACACGAGTTGAAATAATCATTCTGTGAACTATGTAATAGCAAGTCCATTTGCTAGTGAATGTCTTTTTAAGTGATCTCTATTGCATTAATTGAGCCACTGTTCGTAGCATGCAAAACTGTGTGTTCCACTCAGGAAAAGAGGACTTGTTAATGAAACTGGTTTAAACGCGATGAGTTACGTCTTTCGAGATCAGGGGTTATTGGGTTTCTAGGGGTTATTGGGTTGTTCGTCGTGCCGTCATCGTACTATTATGCTTATTTAATCGCATCTTTCCCTTTCCTTGTAAAATCATAAGTTTCGGCTAAAACAGGTTCATTGCTAGTTAAGAAATTACATATGCTATATATATATATATGCTATCGCTATATCTATCTATGAAATGTATCTATGTGAAATTTTATTGCGGTGCAAGTATGTTTTCGACGATATTCTGATCGCTGAAAACTTTAACATTGAAGAAAGTATACGTAAATTTTACTTATAGAAACATTTTCAAAATATCTTTTTTATGAAAACATGTCTAGAATTGTGTATGCAAGAACTTTGTTAAATAAGAAATTCTAGAAAAATCATAGTTTTGATGTTATTTAGGCATATGTTAGTAATCATTTAAAGTGAACGCGAATCACGGTATTTCACAATTTCAGAAAAGAATATCGTAGACCTGATGGATGGTACGGGAATACACCAAGAGCCCGTTGGAGTGATCGTAACCGAAAATCGTTGCCACAGAAATGATACAATAGCATATGACATTACGGAAAGCGCGCTACTGACGATCAATACGAACACTTTGTTTCCGACTGGTATACCGCGTGATTTTTCCATTTTAGTCGTCGCGAAGCCAAAAATCGGTTAGTACTCTCTTTAATTGATTTACATTTATCCTGATCGTACTTTTACAGATCATAGATTATAATCACATAGATAAGATAATAACCGATACAATTTAACGATCACAAAATTAGGATCCTCGGCTGCCACGTTGTTTGCGATCTACAGCGACAGTGGTGAGGAACAGTTGGTACTATCATTGGGCAATGATGTCACTCTTTACTACAGTACAACTCCGGATGATGAGGATAAACCAATTTCGTTTGGTATTGATATATCCGATGGAAAATGGCACCGTCTAGGAATCAGCATCAAAGGCGATACTGTCACGCTAATTTTCGATTGTACTCAACAAATTTCCAAAGAATTAAGTAGAAATCTTGACGAAACGATTAGCGTCAGCGGCATCATAATTATCGGCCAACAGATCGTCGATGGTAACATGTATATGGTCAGTGGAGAATATTCAAATTACTTGTGCTTGATTACAACATACGAGTTTAATTCTACACGAAATCTAAGACGGAATTCAGTTTAACGGTTTGTTCGTTTATTTCGAATTATTCATAGGGTGGTCTGGAAATGTTGAAGATTGCACCGATACCAGACGCAGCTTACGAAATTTGCACGATTTTCGCGCCAAATTGTAGAAGTCAATCGAGACAAAGTGGTCGTTCGAATATGCGGAATTATAATTCCGTCGTGCGTACAACCTCGTCTACTTATTACGAGGGTACAAATATTGGCGACAGTCAGACAGACCCAAGTTCTAGTTCTCCGGTTAAACCCTTCTCAACCGCTGGATCGTATTATGAAACGAATTACAATCTGCACCCGCCTCGAAGTTATGGCAGAACATCTGAGAGATCTGGACCAAATGCTTCGTATAATGAGCAGGATGAAAATCTTGTAAAAGGAACGGAGGATGATTATGAGAACGGGAGTGAAGAAGGGAACGAGGATACCGAAGACAGCGACAACTACAAGTTAGCTTATAGGCCAGTGAATGCAACATATGCAACAAGACCAACTGTGGAGACGTTCCTTCACAATCAAAGTGCCGTGAGTTAATCGTTATAATAATAGACAATAAAACGTGTTTTTCATTTGCTTAAAAACATAACATATTGAACTTGAGAAAAATATTGGTTAAAGGAATATAAATAATGTTTTATCATTTATTAAATAAATGTTTATGTAGGTTTTCAACAACATCGATTCAGTCGAAGTAGATCGCTATCAAACGACAACGCCAGAAATTTCTAAAACTTCCGACAATTTATCTAGAGAAGTTCAAGGAGGTTTGAAATATTCGGAATCGTTGGAAGGATCGTATTACAATCCAGCTTATTATAGTAGTAGGGGTTCGCCTGGGCCACGGGGATTTCCGGGGCCACCAGGGGTGCCCGGACCACCTGGTAAAAAAGGAGAACCAGGAAGAGATGGGTTAGCAGGTTTGCAAGGCACGGCTGGCCCACCGGGAAACGTGTTCATAATTCCAGCACTTAACCAGCAAGGAAACGAGAAAGGACCGGATACTCAAACGGAAGCTCTGAGACAAATGCTTTCACAGCATATGTTGGCTATGAGAGGTGCCGAAGGTCCTATGGGTCTTACAGGTATTGCTGGGCCCGAAGGACCACCTGGACCTCAAGGTCAGAAGGGAGAACCTGGAGAAGTTGGCGAATCTGGACCTCGTGGCGAAAGAGGTCAGTTTTATAAATTCTTTTCTGTATACAGTCCTGAAGTTCCATTAATTTGTTAAGTTGGATATTTAAATGTTATAACAGGATAATTTGGACAAAACAAACATTGGAACATTTAATAAATTCATACAGGTATTCCTGGAAATACTGGCAGGGAGGGTAGACGTGGTCGACCTGGGAGAGACGGAGAAAGAGGTTTAAGTGGACCACCAGGAATGAAAGGAGAACAGGGTGTGCCTGGACTGCCTGGATTACCAGGAGATAAAGGCGAACGAGGATTTGTAGGTGCCACCGGTGAACAAGGTTTACCAGGTCATGAAGGAATGCAGGGTGATGATGGTCCTCCAGGTTTACCAGGCTTACCGGGTGAAATGGTGAATAACGAAAATATTATACAACAATATACTTGTATTCATATAAAAACGGAAGATCGTACTTTTGAAATTACTTTAGGGACCAAGAGGATTCATAGGCCCACGAGGTTTCCCTGGATTACCAGGGAATCCAGGTATTCCTGGAAGCGAAGGTCCACCAGGAGCAAAAGGCAATACTGGTCCACCGGGCCCTCCAGGTGTGCCAGGTTCTCCGGGTCCAATTGGACCTGTAGGACCACCCGGACCTCAAGGTCTTTTGGGTCCAACTGGTCTAGTGGTAAATTACTTAGATACAATTTTTTTTAAAAAGTATTTGCTTTTTATTAAATCTTCTACGAAGTTATTTAACAATTTTATCAGGGTCCACAAGGGAAGCCTGGAATTCCTGGTCTGTCGGGAGCAGATGGATCTCCTGGTCATCCGGGAAATCCAGGCGTTCCTGGGATGAAAGGTGAACAAGGGCCTCAAGGACCGCAAGGTCCGATAGGCTTCCCGGGAGTCCGTGGCATGAAAGGCGACGAAGGCAAACGTGGATCGCCTGGTGAACGCGGGGAAAAGGGAGAGAGAGGTCCAGAAGGAGAGAAAGGTGACATTGGCGCGAAGGGAGAACCTGGATTGTCAGGTCCACAAGGAATTCCTGGATTGGAAGGTTTAGAAGGACCAAAAGGTTTCGAAGGGCCACGTGGTGAAACCGGTTTAGTTGGACTACCTGGTGAAAAAGGTAAAACTGGTCCTCCAGGTTTTGTTGGATATCCTGGAAATGTTGGTGAAAAAGGAGATAAAGGTCAACCAGGAAGAGAAGGCCCTAGTGGAGATAAAGGAGAAAGGGTAAAAGGAGCCTATCAAGTAAAATTTAATACAATGAGATTTATCATTTCGTTATTTTAGGGTAACAATGGCGCGTCAGGAGAACGTGGTGAACCAGGGCCTAGGGTACATGAGGAAATACATAATAATATTAACGATGATATTGTCACATAAAAGAATTAATAGAATATCTTTTACAAAGGGATTTAGAGGTGCTCGTGGAAGAAGAGGTGCCGAAGGATTGCCAGGACCGAAAGGTGATACTGGACAGCCAGGCCCTCCGGGATTACAAGGAGAATCTGGTACGCCAGGAGTCGAGGGACCTCGTGGATTTGTGGGATCTCCTGGGCAAGCTGGTCTCAATGGTAAAGATGGAATCCCTGGACCTTCTGGTGAACGTGGACCAGTGGGTGATTCTGGGCCGCCAGGTCCACCAGGTGCGCCTGGTGTTATCGGACCGCAAGGTCCAGCTGGTGAACCTGGACAACCAGGAGAACCTGGAAGTCCAGGAAATCCAGGAGCTCCCGGAGAATCAGGTTCCCCAGGAGAGCAAGGCAAAGAAGGACCACAAGGACCACCTGGTTTACAAGGAAAAGAAGGTTCACCTGGTCCTGGTGGTCTACCAGGATTTCCTGGTGAACGGGGTGCAAATGGTTTACCGGTTTGTATTTGTCTGTCTTTCTAATAATATAATAACTAAAGTTTCCAAGGTAACGTGTTTTTATTAATTGAACTCTTCTCTATAAAACAGGGAATGCCAGGTGCAAAAGGAGAGATAGGACCACCTGGGCTTCAAGGTCCATCAGGCGATAAAGGTGCTCAAGGAGAATCTGGGAAAGATGGCGAATCTGGACCTCAAGGAAAGCAAGGACCTAAAGGACCACCTGGTCCAGTCGGATTGAAAGGCGACAGGGTAATAATAACATACAAGTATAAAAATAAATGACTAAAATGATAATAAAGCGATACCGAAATTATGAATCATATTAAATAATACATATTCTTATCAGGGCGAGCCTGGACCAGTCGGTCCTACCGGGCGAGATGGTTTACCAGGGCAACGTGGTTTACCAGGAGCTCCTGGCCCTGTTGGAGTGCCAGGAGAAGATGGAGACAAAGGAGATATTGGACCACCTGGTGAAAAAGGCTTTAAAGGATCTCAAGCGGAAACAGTAAGCGTAATGTAATTGTAATCATACGACAGCATAATAGTAAAATGTAAATTATGATTTACTTTTCACAGGGACCTCCAGGAGCACCTGGCGCACAAGGACTTCGAGGTGAACCTGGTGCTATCGGCTTACCAGGAGAAAAGGGACCACCTGGAGAAATCGGGAGGCGAGGACCAAAAGGCGAAGATGGTCCCGTTGGTGCATCAGGTCCTCCTGGTCCCGTAGGGCCACAAGGATTGCCTGGCCCATCAGGATTAAAAGGAGAAGTGGGGGATACTGGCATAGTTGGTCCTGTAGGACCGGCAGGAAATCCAGGTGAACAAGGTCCAAGGGGCCCTAAAGGGTCTGAAGGTATACAAGGTCCTCCGGGAGTAGAAGGTCGTCAAGGAGCAAAAGGAGAATCTGGAGCGGTAGGACTTCCAGGTTTAATAGGTCCAGAAGGAAAACAAGTAAGGAATGATACTATAATTATTTCAATAAAAATTTATGGAAATAAATTTTACGTTATTATAATTTAACGAAATGTGTATCGTAGGGCGAAAGAGGCCCTCCAGGACCAAAGGGAGAAGAAGGTAAGAGTGGACCTCCAGGACCGCCTGGAAGTCGTGGTATAAATGGTCCGGAAGGACCAAAAGGTAATGCAGGACCACCTGGTTTTCCTGGACCTCCAGGAGAACCAGGTTTAGTCGGCCCAAAAGGGGAACCTGGTAAGAATGGTGAAGATGGAAAACCAGGAGATCCTGGCGCACCAGGAGAGATTGGACCCCCGGGAAAGGAAGGATTACCTGGCCTTGCTGGAAAACAAGTATGCATTATTATAGTCTTGACAATGATAAATCTTAAGGATTTGTTTTAAACAAATAACAGTATTGAATTAGTAATGAAAATTAATTTATTATTTAGGGATCCGAAGGCCCAGCGGGAGTGCAAGGTAGTCCAGGTTTACCTGGTGAAAAAGGAGACATGGGGCCGCCTGGGGCGCAGGGACCTCCGGGTTCCATAGGATCTCAGGGTCTTCCAGGACCATCAGGTTTGCCAGGTGTAAGAGGATTGCCAGGACTTGCTGGAGAAAATGGTCCACCAGGGATGTCAGGAGCTGTTGGTGCTCCAGGAAAAGTTGGACCGGTTGGGCCAAAAGGTCCAAAGGGTGACAGAGGTAAACGAGGAATCAAAGGGCATCGAGGTGAATTGGGACACGTTGGAGTCAAAGGAGAACAGGGTGAGAAGGGAGAACAAGGACCACGAGGTGCTCTAGGACTCGAAGGACCCAAGGGTAACCAAGGGCCACCAGGTTTATTGGGTTTCAAAGGAAACGATGGACCTCCAGGACTTCCAGGAATAGAAGGAGCAATAGGACCCAAAGGTAATGCTGGAAACGATGGACCAAAAGGCGAACTCGGCCCTCCGGGACCGCCTGGTCCTCCTGGACCACCTGCAGAGCAACCTATGATTCCTCCGGAGTTGTTATTCACGAGAGAACAAATTCTTCGAAGGAAGCGCGATATTTCGACAAATACGTAAGACCTTTTAGGCCTTGTATGTTTGATTTTCATGTCTGTAAATGTACTACTACTAATGATGATACTATTATTCGCAGCGCGGAAGACGAGAAAGAGAAAGATTCAGAAACGTTGGACAAGGATGATCAAATCGAAGAGGAATTTGGCCCAAAATTCTTGGACATGTACAGTTCTATATACGCCATGAGACAAGAATTGGATCGAATACGCAAACCGATTGGAAGCAGAGAAAATCCTGTAAGGACTTGCAAGGATTTATTTTACGGCCATCCTCATTTTCACGATGGTCAGTAATTCTATTTGCTTCGTTCGGAGGTTACTGATTTTGTCAGTTATTTGAAAACTTACGAAATAACGGTTACCAAAACAGGTTGGTACTGGATCGATCCAAATTTAGGAATGGCTGACGACTCTGTATATGTTTATTGCAATATGACGAATATGGGCGAAACTTGCGTATACCCTGATATTCACACGAGTCAAATGCCCAATATACCATGGAGGAAAGAAAATAATAAAACGGATTGGTACTCGAATTTGCGCGGAGGATTTAAAGTGAGTTTACATTCATCTAACGAAATACATGTCTATAAGAAACAAGAAGTCCTGAAATATAAAATATAAAAATCTCTTATCCGTCGTATGTTATGTTATAGATTACATACGAAGCTATTGGCGTAGTGCAATTAAATTTTCTGCGTTTATTGAGCCAAGAAGCTTATCAAAATTTCACTTATACCTGCATTAATAGCGTTGCTTGGTACAATGTTTTGAATTTTAATTATAATTCATCTTTACGACTGCTTGGTGCTAACGAGGATGAATTTTCATATACCGGTATCAAGCCACAGATCGTTACGGACAATTGTAAAATGCGTAAAAGCAAAGGAGATACAGTGTTCTTGGTTTACAGTAAAAAGCTTCAACAGTTACCATTGGTGGATTTTTACCCAGTCGATTATGGATTGCCGCATCAAGCGTTTGGTTTTACAGTTGGGCCCATTTGTTTCAAGTAAATCAAATTATCAAATCTCTATTGGCAAGACTGAGGTATAATTGTAAATTATTCGATAATTATTTTCTATCATTTTTTCCTTGACACTGTAATATCAATCAGCAGATAATAATTTATTAATCATCTAAATTTCTCTTACTAAGACGTACAATAATGAGAACTATTATATTTTTCCATGTACTTATATCAATTATCATTATCTTTTCGGATTTAAACGTTCGAAAGAATAAAAAAGTGCCATTCAGAACTTAAGTAGAATGTAAAAGGTGCAATACAATGTATTAACACTGTTATTTATATATATGTATATTATTAATATTGTAACCACTGCCATAAGTATGTGATCTACATTAATTCTGTGCGATGTACGCCGAATTTTCACATGTTTATAAATAAAATGCAATAATACATAAAATTGCTTTCACTTTATAACGTTATTCCCGCCTTGAAATATAATTTTAATTGATTCTAAATACGTGCAAATCTCAATTGAATTTAATCCTTCATACTTATATACAATTTTTATCAGTTTTTGTCTTAAACCCTGGTCTTGTTACTATCTAAATTGAGTGTTTTTTTTCGTGTTGTGCAATTAAATGTACTATTAGATATAATTGGTAGAATAACTTTTGTGAATATAAATAGAAATAAAGATTGTATATTATGAATAATATGAAAAATATGAAAAGAGCTTCAGACATGTCGGTTCCGTGGTGTAGCGGTTATCACGTCTGCTTTACACGCAGAAGGTCGCCGGTTCGATCCCGGTCGGAACCATTTATTTTCACTACTTTTTTATGTCAATTTCCATTTGCTTTTTAATTGCTTATCTAATAATTTGATAAACGACCACAATCGACCATAAAACAAGTATCTATCTATCTTTTTTATACATATTTTCTTCTAAACCAGCACGAAATAATAATATCAGAATGCGAATCTATCACTGACTACGAGGATGACATATAAAATTGTCTACAATGCGGAGATATAGACATCAAGAAAGACAGATTGATTGATAAGATTCATAGCTGCTCGACAACGGATAGAACGTGGTTAAAAATGACGTCCTTAAGTCACACGGTGTTTCCATTGAGTCCCCATGCATCATTTGCTCGGAACGAGTAGAGAGTGAATTAACTTGTCAGTCGAGGCTTACCACGAACAGAACTCCGTAGGAGTTGGCTGGATAGTTACGCGAACCATATCGATTCGCATCTGGGAAGGGCTGAAGAAAGTGAGAAGTGATTCAGGCCAGAAGGGATCGAAGGAATTCGCGAGAATGGCGCTATATGCGTGGGCGAACCGTGAGAAAGGGCAGGTGGTATCTTGTCGTGGTGGTCGGCGGTTCACACTTCCAGCTCGTTCTCTTCTCGCGACAAGAAAACCAAAGTGACGGTGCAGGGCCGCTTTTATCGCGACCTTCTTCGCATCGTATCGGATTCAACTTCGAAGGATTCAGCTCGCTGCGCGTCGCAAATCAGTGATGGTACTTCTTCAAATACGTTCGTACTTACTTCTACTATTGAATATTTCGAACATCTGTGAAATATTTTAACGTATCTTGGCAGAGAGTATATTTCCGATCGAGTAAGACGAACAGAGAAGCAGTTGCATAATTAATCGACCCATTAGAGGGAAAGATTCTGAAATATTTGTATTTTAGTTCAACGAGTAAAAATGTCTGTTCATTCAAAACATAAATAAGGCCGTCAATTGGTAATCGATGTTTAGAGAAAAAATAAAGTACGTAAATACGTTTAATGAAACTCGTGGCGTGCAGAGGGTAACTACTACGAGGGTGGATGGAAGCCGAGTTCTTTTGAAACGTAGCCGTCCCTGTTCCCGAGCGCTCGTCCAAGAAATGGTATGAGGGATAAAAGGTTTCCTTGTTTAACAAAATATCGTCTCCGAACCATTAGCCCGACCGTTACCACTTCAACGCGATTTTCTGCTCCTGCCACGTCGAGGAGGTGCTTCAGAATCCTACGGATCCTTCGACCTATCAAGTGCAGACCGCTTACTTTGCCCCGACAGAATCGCATCGACGCGCGACGCGTTGAAAATTAAGTTCCCTTTTTCTTTCTTTTTTTTCTTCTTTGATTCCTCTGTTATCGCGATTATTCAATTTTATTGTATCTCACTCGGTAAAAATATTCGTTTAAGCAGAAAAATAATTCTTCTCTTTGAGACTATCAAGTTGAAACCAATGTTCTAGAAATAATCTTTTTCAGTTATTTATCAAATGGACTATCAAACACGAAAGATAATGTAATCTGTTGGAAGGTCGAAAAATGTGTTCACAGACTTGGAATACATCGTGAAACTACGATATTTTAGCAATGAAACGCTCCACGAAGAATTAAAAACTTTTGACACTAGTAGCGTAACTTTATCTCCACTTGCTTTAATTTACAGTACAAATCGTTTCCAATTCTGTTCTCGATCATTCGGATGTTAATTTTTCTTCTTATTCGCGCGTACTGTTACTATTTTTGATATTTTAGAAATGTTCAGAGACATAAAGTAGCCCAATTATGCAAATTAACGATCAGTAGATATAGCTATATAATACATGCAGGAGAAATGACGATCATTGATTTTCAAGCAATAATAAATAAAATATTCAACGATGGCGATGGTTATTACGACCATCTCTCGTAACGTTGCCCGTACCGTGCGAAGCATACAGGTGTCTTTCACTAACGTTTCACCGCTGTCACTTTCCTGAAAACTGTATGAACCGGAGCTCTAGCTCGATGGAAATTTATTCACAGCTCATTGTTAGAATCATTTGTTAGAGTCTCCGCTCAAGCTAATTTAACGCGATTTTGAATTTCCATTCGTAGATAACGAGTATGAACCATTTGAATCTCGAGTGGTACAATTGGCAGCATCCTTCAAATCAATAATGCGACCAAAAGAAAAAAATCTTCGTAAATTTCGAGATCACCTTTGAACATTTTATTAACAAGAAATAGACATCGTAACCGTTATAAGGCAGATTTTAAAAGTTGCGATGTGAGAGTTAATGTAAAAAAAGAAGTAAATATCCTGGTTAAGGATGTAAAGGACTTGTAGACGATTGTAACGTAGAATAACGAGAACTTGCTGTTGCAACCCGTCCAATATATTTAAATTAAATAAATTAATAAATATAAATAATGTCGAGAGACGCTCGTACAAACGCATTCGCTAAGACAGTGTATAATTGCTCGCTGATAACTCGGTATATACTGATTAGCTCGCGATCGCGTCTGTTTATTTATACCGGTCGGCAGACAGTCGGAAAATTCAAATTCGTCTTTGTTGCACGTAGCGGTGACATTGTTTTACCTGGAGATTATTTATTATCACATCATGCAAGTCCTAACGATATTGATACTCCGAGGCAAAGCAACAACACGATTTGATTTTTCCTCTAGCTCGTGTGCCGCTACAAGGATAACCATTTTAAACGATGAAAATTTTGTCGACTACCGGTGATCATTATCGATGAGAGAAATTTTATTTCGATTACGAACAGCTACTCGGTAACAAAGACAGAATTCGCGCCATGGAGAATAGTTGCCGAGGAGCAAGCAAAATTTCGCGCATATACATTGATTCTTGGTAAAGAAAATTAAATGCCCGTCATCGGTAATGGTCCTTTGAGATTTATCGATAACCGAGTTTAAATGAAAAATTCATCTTCGCTCGATCAATCTGTTCACAGCACGTCCAGACAGTACCTGTGTTACTTTGTATCTCTGAAAGATAGCAAATGTCACACCCATCGTGCCATTAAATACCCGGAAAGTTATGGAAAAGCGAGAAACGAGGTACATGGAAATATGTTCTTGAATCGCCGCGAACCATTTCATCCCCTCGTGCTCCACGATCGCATCCCCCGTCAGATACACCTTACCCGTGACACCGAGTCGTCGAAGAAGCCGGGGGCGGGAGGGCAACGACAACGAGTCGAAGCTGATGGAGTTTCCTCGCGGCCACACGGGCCTCCGCCGATCCTCCGCTTCGAACAGACTTCGCGATTACGGGGGAAAACGCACGACGAGTTGACTTTCGCGCTTCCGGCGGCGGAGCTTACCCTCCG